AGGCAGTATTTATTAGGGCAACTTTTCTGTAGCTTAGAAATCAATGGCTAATTTATCCAAAATTGCTTACTAGTTTAAACACTCAGCAAACAAAAAAAAGCAGATTATGGTTTCAAAAAATCATTAGAAAAACAGTTGGAAAAAATAATTGGATCAAGTACTGCAAATTTTTTTATAGTTTTTTAATGTCATGGCAGTAAACATTGATTCGTTCTTTTAAAGACTCAACAAGAAGGATATAATGAAGCTTGATTCTGTCATTGATTTAAACTATATATTCTAAAAATTCATGTGGTATAGACTTTTTTTGTACCAGTTCTTATGAATATATTAATATTTATATGATAAATGAGAGTATGATTAATACAGTTACAGTTTGGACTAGTGATTAGGCACAAGGCTAGAAATGGGAAACTGGTCTAATCCCACTTTAGGCATGAAAGCAAGCTGGGTGACCTTGGCCGGTCACTCTCCCTCAACCCAATTCAGCTTACAGGGTGGTTGTTATAAGAGGAAGAAGAAGTGTTAAGTATGTTTTCTGCCTTTAGTTATTTATAAAAATAATAAAGAAAGGAGATGATAGATAGATAGATAGATAGATAGATAGATAGATAGATAGATAGATAGATAGATAGATAGATGATGGATGGATGGAAGAGAGAGAGGAAGAAGGGAGGGCAAGAGGGAGAGAGAGAGGGAGACCACCAGACTCTCTCTATACTGTATAACTAATGTATGGTTACTAGTTTCTAAACTATTGCTAAAATATTTTCTCCTTTTAGAAATCAAGAATGTGAGGGAATTAAGCTCTTCTCTGGCTCTGTTGAGTTCCAGATGCAAAAATCTTTTTGAAAATACTGAAACTAGTCAAATTTGTAATTCTGTGCCTGGATCAAGAAATGGTCTAGACCGGTGTGTCTCAACCTTGGAAATTTTAGAATTCCTAGAATGCTGGGATTCAACTCTCAGCATTCTGGAAAGTTGAAGTCCACGCATCTTAAAATTGCTAAAGTTGAGACATTCTGATCTAGACTCAGAAAGGCACAATCACATAACGATAACAGCTACTGCCTATAATTTATGTCTTAGAATAATGGCTTAAAGTTATCTTTTGCGGCCTTCTTGATGTAGTTAAACTAGTCTTTTATTACTCCCACCCAAAAAAAGAGAAGGGAGTTACATCTAGCCTTTTAAAGTTCAAACCATAATTGCATCTAAAACACTTGCTTGATTTCCTAACAGAAAAAATTAACAAGCTGTGTAAAGGTGATAATTCATTATTTTCAATATGCATTGAAAGATTTATTTCAGTGTGCATGGAACGAATCCCAGCGGCTCATATCTATTTTTTCAAAGCTACATATAAATTGACAACTTAAAGATCGATCAATTGACATTAGTGTATGAATTATATTTTTCCAATAGTGAACTACTTTATCTTTTGCTCTAAATTCTCTTGTTTCTTCTCTTTGACAATACTGTAAAACCTTCTGAATACTGGAAAATCCAAAAGAGTACATTTAAATATTTTTAATGGAGATCTTACAGATAAGAGTGGGACTTACTGCATGTGATAGAAAATCTTGAAACTGACAGTTTGACAGAAATTAATTACAAGAAAGTGGAACTAATTGTTCACTTGAAGGTAGTATATGCTACAGCTTTCCAATGCTAGCATTATATTGTACTACTCATAAATATTCTTTGTGTATTGGTTCATTATTGTTTACCTCTGCAGATGCAATTGTGAGCATGTTCTTGACTGCACAGGTAAAGTTATCTATGAAGGGAAATTTCAAAAAGACTTAATGAGCTCATACACACCCACCCAAAGGTGCTTTTTCAAGAGGCAACTGGACTTTCTGGTTTTTCTTTAAAGATTTTTCACTTCTTATCCAAGAAGCTCCTTCAGCTATGGCTGGATGGTGGGGAATGGAAGGATTTATGCAAGGAAGATGTCCTTGCAGACAGCTGGTCATTTGCATTCTTTTAGAGAGTTGTTGAAGCCATCTGGAAATTTACCTGAGTCATCAGGGTCATTTGCAGAGTATTGTAAATGGGTGTGGAGCCTTCTTGGAACTGTTGAAAGGACTGTGCTGTAGACTAGAGACAGATGATGTTGTATTCCTCCACCTCTGTCGAGAGAGAGCTTTTCAATTTTGACATTGATAGACTTTTTGATTTCTCTTTCAAACTTGGGCTTCTCTCTGTACAAAATGTGGACTTTGCTGTCTTCAAAATAGTGGCCTTTGTCTTTTAAATGCAGAGTGATAAAGGATACAGATAAACCTCAGGTGGCCTCAATGACTCTCTAAAAAATCAGCTGTCTGCAAGGACTATAAATCCTTTCCCACCATCCAGTCAGATCTGAAGAAGCTTCTTGGATGAAAAGTGAAACATTTTCAAAGAAAAACCAGAAAGTCCAGTTGCCTCTTGAAAAAGCACCTTTGGGACAGCCATGACCTGAATGACTAAGAATCTCCTTAGACATACACAGAAGTGGGGGACAGAGACAGTGAGACTCTGACCAATGTGCTTTACTTTGGTCCTTGAGATAGGAAAAAAAGTATGTTGATCTCAGGAGTGAGGCCAGTAGAATCATGATCTTCACATAAGGCAGTGGTGGGCTGCTGTCGGTTCAGACCAGTTCAGGCAAACCGGTGGTTCCATCTGGATGGAAATTCATTACAAATGCCTCAATGGAGTAGGGAGGAATATGCTTTTCTTTGAAGTTACCATTCCCAGCACACTTTCTTCCACTAGCTCCATGTATTTTTCTACTGCATTTCCTCTTAGGATTAGGCTAGAGATAATGTCTTCATTTCAGCTAGAGGAGATAGAGAAGAGAGAGTGCATATTAAAATTTAAATGAAAGGTCTCTAGGAGATCAATATTTTTCTTCCTGCCCTCTCATATAGTTATTTAACAAGTTTATGTTGATTCTATTAGCCAAAACAGTGCTCTGTGGGTAGGAGAGGCAACCCCAAAGCAGGCCAGATCATTGACCCTCCACAGATTTTGTCTGTGTGCAACATGGAATGTTTGCATAGAAGAATTTTCTATTTTGTGATGAAATATACCAGTTTCATGATAGATCCACTTGACTTGGCTTCAGCCTGCCTTCATGAATGGGCCAGTAGCAAGATGGATGCTATGTTGGTACAGACATATCCTCAGCACATGGTATAGTCTCTGACAGGGATGGATTCTACTTACCTTTACTACCTGTTCACATTGGGAGCTCGCATGAGCAGATCACCTATGATGACATTTGGGTCGGTTGGCAGAGCCACCCGCCAGTTTTACTACCGGTTCTTGTGAACTGGTTTGAATCAGGGGCACCCACCACTGAGAAAGACAAGAAAGCTTTTGGTGAACTCAGGGTCCTGTTTGATCTCTCTTCCAATCACATCCATTTTCATGGAACATTATACTCAGGCAATGCACCAGGACAGGACAGTACCCAAAAGGTATATATTTTAAAGAATTTATGCTGGAAAACATTTGGCTAAATCTAACCAAAAATGAGCATTTATTAGTACAGATAATATGGAACATTGTGTGCCTTCATCATTGCTCATTGAAATTGTGCAAATAATCTGTCCACAACCAGAAAATTCAACATATTTTCTGATCAGTATAATTTCCCACAGAAGATTCTGTGGGACTTGTAGTAGAAATGCAGAAGAGTCTTCTTATTTCAAGAAGTTTAGTGACATAGTTTTGATTTCTGCTTCATATTAAGAAAAGTCTAGAAGTTTAGAACTCATTCTGCATTAACCAGCTTGTTTTTTACTCTTCTTTACTGAATAACAGAGTCAGGAATCAGAGATCTTCTCATTGCTACAAAGCTTTTCTTACTAAAAAAAAGTCTCAGACTTTCAATTCCCATTTCAGAGTCATGTGAAACCAATCAAGGTCAGGTCTTGCAACCTCATGAGCATAGCGGGGCCATGGGGTCATGGTGCCAGGTTTTAATAAAAACATTGGGTGGTTTGTGTGGAGCTTCTGCAAAGAACCTAGAAGAGGTACTGTGTAAAGTGTCTACCCTTGGAGTTTCTCTACTGTTTTTATTAAGGAGCTCCTGGCAGCTTGTAAGAGATATAGGTATTATATTGCTTGGTATATATGCTTTTTATGCTATGGTTTTAAACCTGTTTGCTTGAGATAATAATAAAGCTTAAAATTCCTTTATTTACTGGATCATTAATTGATCACTCACTGATCACTGCCCTAACCTCCTACACACACACACACACACACACACACACACACACACACACACACAAACACACACACACACAAACATTCCCTGCACAATCTTTAACAAGCCTTGGAGATGCTTTATTTCTCTACTATAATTCTACCTGCAGTGTAGACATTCTGCAGTCAGTCTGATGGTCACCACAAAAAAAAATCACCTTGGGTTTTTTTTGTCTTGATTTATGTTGAGAAATCTATGTTTATGTTGATTTCTCTATTGTCCTTAGACCAACCATCACTTATTCAATGGAAAAAAAGAGGTACTGATGGCCTTTTCATTCTCTTGCTGATCACCCAGTTAGCACTAAGAAGGTTATGGTAGGGAGATATAACCTGCTTCTTTGCCCAACAATGTTGACAAAAAAAATCATACCTATTAAAAAATATAAGTTGGAAAAAAAAGTCTGCAATCAAGCCAGTTCTCTGCAGATCAGTTGAAAAATGTCTCCACTAATTGCATAAATCCAGTTGATTTAATATAGTTTCAAGAATGAGGTACCCAACTCATTTTGATATGTGGTGTTAGAGATGTATGCATATTGACTGGAGAACATGCATATACCAAGTTTTATTTATTTCTAGTAATAGTTTATTACATTTTTATGCATATAAATTTCCCAGAGATTATAAATTTGGTAGAGATGGGGTTATTGAATGATATTTTAATATAGATCGTTCAAATGTTTGATATGTTTTTCTGACACTAATTTTTTTCTTTCTCTCTTTTTTCTTGGCAGATTAGTAGAATTGTCATCAATAGTTCCCATCAATGCTCACTGGGGAGTTATTTCCAAGTGTCTGGCCTATAGTAAAGCTGTTTCAGATCCTTTTGTGTATTCTTTGTTACGACACCAGTACAAGAAAACGTGGAAAGACATAATAAATAAGATGCTGAAAAGAAGCTCAATAAATTCATCAGCTCTCACAAGTGAATCACAAAATCGAAATTTTTTGCAAGGGAACGAATGAAGAGGCAAGGACTATTTTGGAAATGTAGCATAATGCTGGTGGACAAAAGCTGACGAATGATAGGCAGGCATCTCTGGGATCATCAGCTGACAATGTTTTGAAAAGCCTACCTGTTAAGTGTTCAGCAATTTAGGTAATTAATTTTAAATCAAAGTTGGATGCCTTTTAATTCTGATATACAATATAGCCTACAAGATCTCCTTCAGCTTCATGAAATATATCCATCCATATCTGCAAAGGCATAATCTTGTCTTTATTTAAACATGGATTTGGTATGGATTATAGTAAAGGATGGTGCTTACATATCTGCCATCCCTTTGAAACATGAAAACACTGGACGACCTTGTGACACTTTTGATATGTGACAGCAAATTGACACCTGCTAAAATGTGATTACATAACTACATGATCTATTCAAAATAGACATAACTATTCTTCCTAAGATATGGCCATATGAGGTCATACTTAATTGCACATAAACCTGTTGAGTGAGAATCAGGGTATCTCATCTATAAATTCTTAGTTTGAGGTACTGCTTTCATTATGTGCAAATACAAGAAAGGTATTATTATTGGGCCAGGACACTGCTCATATTTTTTAAAGTGATGCTCATGCCCCTTACACACAAAAGCATTTTCACACATCAAAATGGGGATATTATGCGGATTTCAAGTATTAACTACAGTACACTGCTTCACTATTTTCAGTCAAAGCTATAGAAGCTTTCATGGCCCACCATCTCAGTGGTTGAGAAGAACCACCATTGTATGAGATAATATATTCTGCAATCTGCATGTGTCCATTGGAGTACAGGTCTAGTCTTTTCCTTCTGGTCTTTCTCAATTGTGTGCTACACTGACATCCCACAAGAGAGGAAGCTGTGTCCCATGTCACCTAAATTGTTTCCATATTGCTATGGTTTTCTGACTGTGAAAAAAAAAATACCTAAAGTGTTTTGCATTAATGTGAGTCTGCAAGTACACTGGCTAAATACAGACTGCTGGCGGTCTAGAATGTAATCTTCTTCACAATAAGAGTCATTATGAACATTGTGTTCTGTCTGGTCCTGAAGCCCTGACTGACAGCTTCAAGAGGTGCATACAGAAATGTTGTACAGGACTCCTTTGTCAGTGCTCAGAAGAACTGGATCAAAACGTTTGCACAGATTCCACGCAGACAGTTCTATGAGCTCATTGTATTTGTTGTTGAAAGTATTTATGTTAAAAACAATGTATGAAAAAAGAAGTGTTTTAAGTCTGAAACTACCATCAAGTGTATCTGAACAACGTTAGACATTTCTTTCCAGTAACTGGAATGCTTAAACCGGAAAAAACATTGGGAATTTATTAACACTAAATTTTGAGAATAACATTCAGACTGAGTAATGTAAAGTGAATGGATATATTATTCAGACTTCAGTTGATTCTTTTCTTTCCTCTTTTGTGAGTTATGTTGGGATGGGCTTGAGAGTGGAATTCTACTGATGCTGAATCCCTTTCACTTACTCTGGTGTTCCACCTGTACCCAGTGTGCTATTTGTGCCCATTGATCCATATCAAAAAGGCTGGACAAGTTCATTCTTTTTTCTTTTTCTTTTGCACAAATTTATGAAATAAAATTGCCACACCTAAAAAAGACCCTTTCTCACTATTCTGTACAACTGTATTTAAAACTAGCAGCCATTCTACAAACATTCCAGAATATGTAATTCTTATTTTAAGATATGGGAGTTCAGGCTTAACTTTCTATCCTGCCTATTGATTTTATTTATTTATTTATTTTTGGTGCATTGATAATTGGATTTGGAAGGGAGGAAATAGTTGGATCTTAGAATTATAATTGCAAGAAAATGGTCTCTGAGGTAAGAATAAAACACTCTATTTGTGGGAATGAAAAGTATGGATACATGTATACAGGGCAATGAGAAATTCTTCAACAGGTATAGGTAATGGCAACAGTTTTCTCCCTTCTTTTTTCTTTGTGCCTATATACAGTATATAAGAAAGGGAGAGAGGGAGGGAGGAACATAAATTTATGCTAAGTGGGTTTTTTTTTTAAATGAGGAAAGAGTATGAAATAAAAAACTATCAGTTTTGATTAAAAAATTTGCCCTCTGAGAATTTCAACTGTATTTAGAATCATAAAAAATACATGATATTTATTATCTGAAGTTGCAGATCTCTCTCTCTCTTTCTCTCTCTTTCACACAGACACAGACACACAGACACACCAAATGAATACTATACTTTTACATATTAATGTGACACTTACACCCAACCAGAATTGGGGCATCTAAATAACTTTCATTAAAAATTACCATGTTTTTGTCCTCAATGTATCATTCAACAGATGACCCTTCCTGGTTTTACATCTTCTGTAAACGTCATTGCCCAAAAACTCTTTTGCATACATGATTTCCCCTATTTAAATTTACTTCAAGCATTCAAAAAGTGCAGCCCTTCTCAGAAAAAGAATTGTAAGGAATGAACAGCCAAGCATAAGGTTCCTGCTTCTATGGAAGGTTATAATCATGTCTATGTAAACATATTTTTACTTTCCTCATAGATCTTTCTGATATCAAAGATCTTCATTTACAAAAAGAACCGCTTTTTCCTTAGAAATGAATGGTACTTCACTGTCCTGCAATGATTTAGTGGTAACTATGTATCCAAAATTCTCTCACAATCATATAAAACAGTATTGGCATCTCCTTCCTCCCTCCCTTCCTCCCTTTTAGTTGACCTATTATTTAAAATAGAATGACTTGATATGTGATACAAATACAGTTGCCAAATCTATTTTAACTGATGGTTTTTTAATCCTACTTTTAATAGCATTAAGTTGAGGTCAACAGAAGCTACCCTTTCTATGAGAATACTTCCATGTCATTATTATTTTCTTTTTAAACTGTTAAACAAGAGAAAGACACAATTTTCAGTTAATTTATATTGCTGTTTCTAGATAACTATCATCACTGCATTTAAAAAACCATTTGGTTTCACTCATTTTGTTTTTGCATTGATCCTTAGGGCCTGTTGCAAATTTATCTGTTGCCAAAATTACCTTTGCTCAAATATAATATTCTCCTGAAAAGAAAATAACTGTGCCATAACTGTGCAGTTCAAGGAAAGAATTGTCTATATGACATGGCTGAATGGAAAGCCAAAGGGATATGCTAATGTTCCAACTATAAGATTGTTCTCACTCAGCAGCAAGATATCAACTCAATAGTGTAGAAAGTGGTGACGTGAATCTGGTTTCTAACTCTCATTCCATGTTATAAATTCTGTATCTCTGTATCATTTACTACTTGATTCCTGGAGATTTATGGGGAACAGTTATATAATAGGCTTGTTTGATGCAGTGTATTACTTTCATCATTTGACCGTATGAGAACATCTGTAGATGGATAAGTGATTTCCTGATGATGGTTTCTGTCATTTTTAAGGAGCTAAGGTAACTTTCTGGTTATCATATTAATCTAAATTCTTACAACTGGAGGAGAAGCAACATCTTTATTTGGCTAGTTTATTTTTGAGTGTATTTTATTTTAAGTGTATTTTTGAGGTTTGATGGCTAATAACACCACTTTTTTTGGACTAGTATCATAAAATTATATATCAATGGAAAGATAATATAATCAATAATTTAATGCAACAAAGTTTGTTCAATTATCTGTATTCTATGAAAAGTTATAGCCAAATAAGAAAAAGGAAGCACAACTTGCTTAGGTTGATATCAGGTAGCTTTCCTTCATCTGATTGCAGCCAATGAGCATGAGTGTTTAGAAAGCCAATCAGGTGTCATCTTGTTTTGACAATGAGCCAATCAGATCACAGTAGGATTCAGTTATTGATGTCATGTATTGAAGCTGAGAGGAGGACATTTGTCAGTGTTTTATGTGATCGCTATCAAGTTGGTTGGTTTTTTTTGTGTTCATTTAGTGAGCTTGTAAAACATAATAAAATTAAGTAATGGTGCAAAGAGTTGACTGGTCACCCAGAAAGTGATGTAAATAGTATTATTAAGTGAACAAGGCTACATTTATAAAGAAATTAGGAGAAAAATTGGTGGAAACTTAACTAAAGGTGGCATTTCTAAGTTTTTGAAGAGGTACAAGGAAATTCAGTCACTACAAAACCACACTGGTAAAGGCAGGAAAAGGTACACAACAGCAAGTGATGATAGAAAAATTAAGAGACTGTGCCTATGTGACAGAAGAAAATCATCTGGGTGTATACAAGATGAAATGGTGCAATGCAATGTGAAGTTGAGTGCAAGGACTTTTCGGTGCAGACTTCAGGAATTTGGCTTACAATCTAGAATTCCACAAAAAAAGCCACTTTTATCTCTCAAACAAAGGTTGAAAAGCATTACATTCTTGATTAAATTCTTTCCATTGATATATAATTTTATGGTACTACTCCAAAAAAAGTGGTGTTATTAGCCATCAAACCTCAAAAATACACCTTTCCAAAGGTTTCCACAATTTTGGCCACTACTGTATGATATATGAATTCATCTTCCACAGTGCTTCATATGTTTTTAATAAAATGAGATGACAAACATGCCTAATTGGTATCCAGTATATTTAGAGAAACATACACTCAATTTCTGATTTTTGCACCATGCATTATAGCATGGTATGAGGCAAGAATTTATTCTCCATTGTATGTTGGCTGAACCATTCTCTGCAAATCTATGAATCTTCATTCCATAGAATTCTATATGCTGAAAAGCATTCAGGATTGTTTACTGACAAATATAAAGTAGTACAATGATAAATCATACAAAATTCTCCAGAAAGCTTTTGTAAAGTCACTGGATTCCTTCAGATTTGCTGTAATTTTCACACAGTGAAGTCTTTTTGTTGTACAATTAAGATCAAAGCAGACAATTTTTAGGTTGGAGTCAAGTTTCTATCTGTGCGTCTGTAATAAACTGCATATCTATATTGCGATAAGGCATGAGGAATGCAAGGTCCTCTAATTGGACAATAACTTTCTGATCTCTGGCATTGTTGATAAGATCTCATGGAAGTCGGAATCCAACAACCTCTTAACCATTCTCTTCAAATCTATGAATCGGATTCATTCCATGGAATTCTATATGCTTAAAAGCCTTCAGGATTCTTTACTGACCACTGTAAAGTAGTAATTTCTGTTCTCTACCATTGTTGATAGTCAGAATTTAATAACATCTTCAGGGTTGTTTATTCTTGAGTCTTCTATCAACTATTGTAGCATAATTGGACATTTCCCTTTAAATCCAGTATTTTCCAACAAATATGCTAAAATACTAATGGTTCGATTCAATCTGAAACTGGAAATTGATGGCCATTTTGCTGTGAATGACCACCTTGAGGCTGAAATACATTAGGGCCAAAACATTTGAGGGTATCACAGGTTCTCCAATTTAATATATTATCATTTGTTTCATTTTTAACAAACAAGAACAGATTTTAGGTATGGTATGCAGGCTTGCCTAGGATGCATATTGTTTAATTCCTCATTAAGTAATAACTAATGTAGCTATTTTATTCCATCATTCATTAGATAATCAAATATTACTTTAAGCAATAAATATTTCATACAATTATAATTCTTTCAGAGTGCCTTTCCCCCAGAATTAATAGTAAGAAGTTGGTGTTGGTTTTTTAAAATTTCCTCACAAGAACCTGTTATCATTCTTCTTCTTCACAAAGCCGATAGAAATAAAATAGCCTTGCCATGCTGGGACTTAGACTGAGATATTATATTAGGGAAAAATACAACAATTTATTGATAACAACTGCAATTCAAGTTATACGTGTTTTATATGTTTGGCAAAAATGTAAGATAATTAGGTTTTGTTTTTTTTCAAAATGTTTTTTTCAAAAAACTAAAAGATTGGTGAAGATTTTAATTGATATTATTTATGATTCTATTCCTCTATGATTTTTAGGGAAGTAGTTGTATTAGTATATGTATTACACTTTTAACTATTTCAACACACACTGAAATGCAATCAAGAAACAATTTTGAGGAATCCCTTCCACCCAAAGAATATCTATCTTTTAATTATTCAGAAACAGAGGGCCCTGGACTCTCATTTTGATTGTAAAATACATAACTCAGCACTGAATTTGTAATTTGATATTTAAAAAATCATTCATGCAAACCAATGAATAATGCCTGCTATTATGTGTATGGTCAATGACCTTCCAGCATGGGAATTAACCTGGAGGGCTATAAAAATAGGTCATAAAGATAAATTATGTCCATGGTAATTACAAGATTCATTATTATTTAACTTAATATCAGTTTGATCTATTACTTATAATTAATGGTTTAATGATATGTAATCCTCTGATAGAAACATAGAGTTGCTATAATATATAATTTGATAAATATAATATTTATTTTTTTTCAAAATGATCAAAATCTATATGTCAATTTGTGAATTCATATAATTTTTATTTTAGCCACTATATTTTTTATACAATTATAAAATTAGTTCCTATAACATGACACAATAATCATAATGTGATTGTTTAATCTTAATCATTAATCCCAATTCTTACCTGTAGTTGTTCATTTGTTCTAAATAGATTGGGCTTATTTTTCTAGGTTTTCCAAACAAGCTATGGTGAAAATCAGGAATAACAGTTTCCCAATAGCTTGGTTACTTTTTTTTAATTTCTTTTATTTCAATTCTAATACATGCGGAAAAAGATTTATCTTGTTCAGTCTTTCTGTAACTGTAACACTTGTAAACTGTATTGAATGATTTGATATTTAATATTTCTGTTTGCAAAAATGTTGTAGTTAGACTTTTTAAAAAAGAAGCTAAAGAATTCAACAGTCACGTGTGAGTTGATAATTAGCCGCCAAGACTTTACGTCAAAAGTTCTCCAGTGCACATTGTCTAGTAGTGTAAAATCTGAAAATATTTATAATGCTATAGAATTAGGATTGATTTGTTTATTTTTGTCTAGGAAAATAGAAATCTTAAATAGCACTCCATTTACCATTTTTGAAAATTTGAATTTTCAATTCCATTTTTTCCATTAGATTTCAGAACATGAGTTTTTATTTATTTATAAAAAAATACATGACAGCCCATTTTAAATAAATATCTCTCAGTGGCAAATAATCAATTGAAAAGAAAATGGAGGCATAACAATTCCATAAAATTAACAGATATATATAACAGCCTTCTGGAAGTGAAACTGACCAAATCTCAGGGACAATCTGAGGTTTTTCATTTTTTTTATACCTTTTCTTGTTAATATAATATAATCGCAAACAGTGCAGAAGCAATTAAAAACAATTGATTTTTGAATCAGTGGGATTTATTGCTATCTTTTTTTTATTGCAAGCAAGGAATTCCACTGATTCAAAAATCAATCATTTTGTTAATACCATTGCACTATTTATGACCACATTAATGGGCAAAACAAAATCAGGAAAAAATAGAAAACATTTTATAATTTAAATATTTAATTAATAAAAATACACAATTATCCTTGATTAAATGCCCCAAAGTCTTAACATTTACCATAAATAGTTGTGATATATGCGGTTCATAAAAATAGGGAATTTCAAGGATGAGTTTATTTCCATATTTTAAAAATTCACACGAGTGGGATAAGTTTAACTGTTGTTTGTTCAATTGTATGTTAACAGAATTGTTATTATATGTGAGGACAATCTGGCTTCAGCATCTGTGACCCTATTGATTTGGCAAATTGTATTTGAATTTGCATTGGTCTGAGCAGTGTTTTCATCATGCTGTGGTTATTAATGGATGTTCTTTGAAAGAAATGGTGGGGATTGTTTACCAAACAGATTTTGTAGCAGAAGAGCGGTGAACTATTTTTTTTAAAAAAATAAAAATATATCAAGTAAAATAATAGAGGATATATACATACCCTATATATAAATTAAGGGACTTGAGATTTTTTTACAGAATGGAAGTAATATAACGAAAGGAAAAGTATTGATCCAATGAACTACCATTGCAAAAGTTTCTTATGAATGTATTTATTTCAGGTTGTCATCTAGATAGTATGTAAGTACCCTTTATTGAAAAGCAAATATGCAATTGCTCTTATAACCCAAATATGACACCTTGCATGCCAATCGCTAATTGTGTATAATTAAGCAATTCTTCTCATTTTGGCCAGAAATGTTACTGCACTTAATTTCAGTATGTTCAAGAGTCAACATTTATGGATCCATGTGCTACAAAAGAAATTGTAAAAAAAAACCCACTGTCAATGTTCTTGTCAGAGTACTAAAACAAAATTGTCTGTCTTCATACAGTTTAAATCTGATTCTGCTTTCAGTTTTATTCTGTTCTTCCTGAAACATATGAACATTAAAGGAATAAAGACTGCTTTGATTTCACTGCAATATTGTTAAAGTAAGGGGCGGGGGGGGAAGAAAGCCAGAGAGCTAAAAAAAAAAAAAAAGATATCTGTTAAATTTAGTAACCTCCAATTTCATTTTCTGCCATTAACAGGCTAATGGCTTTCTTTTACTGTGTATATTTTGGTCTATAACTCTTGATGAGGGAGAGGGTATTGCAGAAAATAGAATATTGGACAAATTCTAGGGTAATTTGTACGGCAATAAGATTCACCATAATTAGATGTGTTTCTTTTGTCCCCGGAGTGTCTCTTTCCATATTCTTCCTCTCTTCTCCTTACTTCAAGTAGCAGCTTTACTGGAAGACTCATCTGTATTTTGCAGCTCCGCAATTCCCTGTATTGATATTCTAGGAAATTGAGAAGAGGATATGGCTGATGCAAACACAACACATGGAGAAAATTCTTCAAAATCGTTCCTTTTCCTAAATTAATTAATGGACCTCAAAAGTACATTGATTCATTTCTGTTTCTAAACTCTGCGCTTTCAAGAACTGACTGTTCCTGTATCTCTTCTTGCTTTTCCATATCGATTTAACCTTCACCAAGAGAAGGTAGAGAAAGGTCATTGTATGTAAGAAGCATGGTCAGATACACTGCAGGCATTTAGCTGTGACCATCAGCTTATTTTCATTTGTCAAAAGCACACATCATTTCCCCCCCCTTTAAACATGTTTCAGGACATATTATCAATGATTTTGAATTCTACACACATTATTGAAAATGCTCAGAATGGGGAGTGAAGAGGTGAGTGAACCCAATTATTTTAGAACATCAGAATAAAAAATATGACAAAGCAGGCCAAAAAATAACAATAACAACAGCAAAAATCTTTTGGTGCAATTATACAAGACTTCCCCAGATGTGAAATACACATTTTACAGTATTATAGCTATACCCATCCTGAATTATTGTACCCAAAACAGGTTTCAGAAAGGACAGGTTTCAGTATTTGCAAAGTGTAATAGGGACCTCTCAAAATCAGGACAATTCTCCTCTACAGAAATGTGTGGATCCTTCATTCATGATTTATGCTGGGTAGATACCTCATTAACCTTGTATGGATATTATTATCCCTGGAACATTTCATTAAATCTTGACTCCCGACTACGTTTACCACCATCACTGGCATGGCTGTAATGAAGATGCATTCTTGCAGACCTTACTTGTCTGCAAGGAGAAAGCCTGAGCACATAAAACTGAATACACAATGCTTAGATACATCTCTGTGTTTGAAAACTTGTGTCCACTCTTCTTTTTCCAGTTAATGCTTGAGTAGGAGTACTGAATCCCTACTAAATCCTTAGAAAGAGGCATTTCATGGTCACTATTTGATAATATATGTTCATTTCATAGTACACTGAAGTCCTTTCAAGTCATAGTATTGCCACAGTTTAACAACAATAATGCCAAACGAAAAGGGGCCTTTTCAGCATATACTTCTTCAAATATAGACAAATATTACTTATTTGATTTATAACTTGCCTTCTTATTCAAAGAGCCTTGGTAGTACAGGGATTTAAGGCACCCTGTTATTAAGCTGGTTATTAAGACCAGCTGCCTGCAATTACTGCAGGGTTCGAATCTCGCCAAGGCTCAAGGTTGACTCAGCCTTCCATCCTTTCTAAGGTAGGTAAATTGAGGACCCAGTTGTGGGGGCAATAAGCTGACTTTGTATAAAATATACAAAAGGATGAAGGCTATTGCTGAGCACATTGTAAGCCGCCCTGAGTCTTTGGAGAAGGGAGGCATATAAATCAAATTAAAAAAAGAAAAAGAAAAGAAAATATTATAAGATGGCTAATGACAAAATACAACACACATCATTGTAGTCCAGCATCATGCGGAAGATAGCTCCTCCTGATATATAATACAGATGTATCCAAGAAAATATAGCAAATGAGTAGAGGTAGTGCTCAATTTACAACAGTTCCTTTAGTGACCAAAGTTACAACAGCACTGGAAAAAGTGACTTATGACTATTTTTCACACTTATGACCATTGCAGCATCTCTATGGTCACATGATTTACATACAGATGCTTGGTAACTGGTTCATATTTGTGACGGTTGTTGAGCCCTGGGGTTATATGACCATCTTTTGTCAAGCAAAGTCCTGACAAGCAAAGTCAATCGGGAAGCCAGATTCACTTAACGACCATGTTACTAATTTAACAACTGCAGTGATTCGCTTAACACAGGGGTGGGCAAATGTGGCCCTTTTACAACCTGTTGACTTCAACTCCCAGAATTCCCGAGACAGCCAAGCTGGTTTAACAAACGTGGCAAGAAAAGTCATAAAATGGGACAAAACTCAATTAACAAATGTCTCACTCAGAAGTATAAATTCTGGGCTGAATTGTGGTCATAAATTGAGGAGTACCAATAGTCTGTAAATTATTTAAGTAGGATATCCTTCAGTTAGGGATATTATAGCTGCCTCTGTGTTGCAGCTACCAAACAACCGGCCGTCTTAGAAGATCTCTGAGGTAAACTCCAAATTTAATTGTGTAATTTTAATATTTCACTATATGTAAAGTGTATCAGCTTATATTTTACATGTGCACATGGGAACATATTAGGAGTATCCTCTGCTTTAGCAGTTTTTTCAGTAGAGGCATGGTGTAAATGAACTGGTTTCAGTTTTACATATTTTTTAAACCACATAGTGTGCCAGTGTCGTAGCAGACATTAAGGAACCTTAACTAGTTTTATTCCATACAACCTTTTACCCTTCAGAACATCTAATTAATAAGCAAAGGCAAACAGGGAGCTCCCTCACAGAGAAAAAACTGAAAAGACATGATTACAAATTGTCTGGAAAATAAAAGAAAGTAATGAACAGGTGCCTTGAATTGCAAGGCACATTTCCTCCTTTCTGGCATTTTTTTATAAAGATCATTTCAGAATGCAAAACTCGTATTTTTGAGTTACTTGTCGTTCCCAAAGGAATTCAAAATGAAATACTTATTCCAATATTATTTAGTGTTTGAATGATAATAAATCCCAGGTACTTACATTTTATTTCACTGGCTGTTTCCATGCCTAGGAATCCATGAAAGGTATGTCAATTTACATATCTTTCTAAAACTCTACTGTTTATTTTTTATTTTGGAAAGGTAGCTGGAAATCAGAGGTTTACAACATTTTTCTGATTCAGCAGTACCTGGTCTTTAAGTGCTAGAGAACCATTCCCAAATGAAAGAATCCAGGAGAAAAGTTGATTTTCTAGTATAAAGTACTAATCTAATGTACTAATAATTCTTCCCATTTGTCAAATTAAAATTTGCCATTAATACAATACTGAAGTCTTAAATACTATATTCCTAAAGTAAATGGTACAGCAAACCTTCAGGCTAAATCTCATAATTACTAGTACATTTTCCTTATATTTTTAGTCAAAATACTGTATAAAAAAGAGAAGATCAAGAATATAGTCTTGACTATATCATTCAAACTATGTATCAAGAAAAATCTAGGCCTCCTGGTTGAACAATAATGCTTTTGTGATGAATTCATTACATCATTACATTTCAAACTGTGATAGACATTTAAACAATGAAACTTTATGAACTGAGTTTTGAGAATTACAAATTCTGGCATGGCAAATTATGATACATATGTCTTTTTCCCCCTATTCAATTTAGTGCTAGTACTTTTATAAAGGATCAGAAACTTGAAAAAATTGGCACACACTCAGTATCAGGTTACAAAATTTATTAGGGCTATTCCTTTTAATAAGATAACTGTACAATTTTGATTTACAATCAAAATTGAGGCCCAAACTTCTCTTGCTAAATGTGATAGTCATTAAGCGAGTTTTGCCCCCATTTTAGGACCTTTCTTGCCACAGTTGCTAACTGAATCACTGCAGTGGTTAAATTAGTAAGATGATTCTTTGTTCAATCTGGAGGTTAAAATTATTTGAATTTACTAATATGTATTTATTAAAAGAGGTCTCTTTGTTGTGATGACTTGAATTAAAACATGATGTATCTTTTCTTTTATGTACACTGAGAGCATCTGCACCAAGACAAATTCCTTGTGTGTCCAATCACATTTGGCCAATAAAGAATTCTATTCTGTTCTGCTCTGTTCTGTTCTGTTCTGTTCTATGATATATTGTATGTGGTGTAATATTTTTATTATTTAAAGTAGGTTTTCAGCACAGGAAATAACATTTTTGTCTGTGTGTGTATTTTAATTTTGTTAAACCTTACTAATGAAAATATGATTCCAATTCTATAAATTAGTTATGTAGTAAACATTTGTATGAAAACAAAGTTTTCAAAGTTATTTTAGTTTTGTTTATTATGTTATACTTTAATTGAACATATCAGCCTGTTGATAAAATGAGATAAGAAGATTTGATCGTTAGTCCACTGTTAGTACAGTGGACTAAAGTACTGTTATTAACATCCGCTGCTTGCAATTACTGCAAGTTCAAATCTCACCAGGCTCAAGGTTGACTCAGCCTTCCATCCTTTCAAAGGTAGGTAAAATGAGGACCCAGATTGTGGGGGCAATAAGATGACTTTGTATAAATATACAAAAGTATGAAGGCTATTGCTTAACGCATTGTAAGCTACCCTGAGTCTCTGGAGAAGGGCGACATATAAATTAAAGCTAATAATAATAATAATAATAATAATAATAATAATAATAATAATAATAATAATAATAATTATTATTATTATTATTATTATTATTATTATTATTATTATTAATAAGCAAAATTTCACAAACTGACTACCTACAACGCCATGACCGTGTTGCTAAAATCATTCACTGGAAATTGTGCCAGAAGTTTGGATTTGAGTACAGCAAAAACCACTGGGAACATCAGGTTGAGAAAGTTTTAGAGAATGAGAAACTCAAGATCTTGTGGGACTTTAGGATTCAGACTGACAGGCACTTGGTCCACAACACACCTGACATAACAATAGTTGAAAAGAAAAAAGTATGGTTCATTGACATTGCAA